CTATTTAAATGAGCTGCTTAATATGGTATTTTTCAGCTCATTTGTTCAAATAGCAGACTAAAATGCTGGATACAGATCTCAAATGCCACAGGAATGTTATACGGGTGCATACACTAAACAACAAACGTGTCTAATATATATTTAAACACACCGAATGATCAATACAGGGCAAATGGTGGTCTCAGTCGCCTCCTGTTGGAACTGGAAAAACTGACCCTCTGATTTTAACCCATATGATGACGGAACAAAATACACCACAAGCTTTTATTTCCACTTTATATAATTTTAGATTTTAAAACTAATGTGCATACACACTCAACCCATACCTCCTGTACAATTCAGATCGAGGAAAAAGCAAATGGTCTAAAGAGGATTGCTTTGAGATATTTGTGACAATCATGAGCTGTCCTTGAAACCTCTCTGTCCCTCCTGAGTTCCATAAGGCACAAAATAACTTAACATACTGAACTAGTGGACAAACTGCACTGAGATCAGTTTACACGCACCTCTATCGTCATCTAGTGGACAAGCTGTGATGGGCATGTGTATCCGTTTTGTTATTATACAGCTACCTACATTCAAAGATATACACTAAAGTCTTGCCTTGGGTTGCAGTCGAAGCTTGTTAAATATGAGAAGCATTTAGGTAATAAATAAAGAGTTTCTTTCCCTTCTCTTGTCTCAGTTATGGGATGTCATGTGTCTTGACAGGTGGTGCCGCTCTCGGAAGTATTCGTGGCAGATTGGACAGGTAAGTTTCTCCTCCCTTCTTCTCCTCACCTGAGACTCTGCGGCGAACTCCTTTTTGTGGTGAGAGCGCATGTGAAAAACGAGGTCAGAGGTCATGCGGAAGGACAGGTTGCACTTGGCGCACCAGTTCTGCACCGACACGCCGAATGTGGTAAAAGTCGGAGGAAGGATCGTGAGGGACGATGTGGTTTGCAGCTGAGCGCCTATGTTTCTAGACCAGTGCTCCGGCGCGTAATGGAAAGCAGTGTTTAATGCTACCGGGGAGGGTACAGTCTGTAAGTCACTGCTCAAGATGTTGGATGGTATCAGATTATTGTATCCCACAGACGTCCTAGAGGTAAATGCATTCGTCATCTCCTCCAGGCGGCTAGAGGGGGCTGTTGAACCTCTGCTGGGGTGAGCCTGGGGGTCAACAGGAGAACTTCTTTTACTCGGTTTACAAAATGCGCTTTTCTGTTCGCCCTGGCTGTTCGATATCACCAGAGAAAATGCACTGTTGCTGCTTAAATGCATGCTAGAGCCCTCCCCTCCTGTCTCCATCCGCGCGTCCAGGTCTCTGTCGTGCGTAAAAGTCCACTTGGATTCATCACCTTGAACAAGCTCCTCACTTTTACGTTCCAAAAGATCCAGTTTCAACGTGTCAGCTTTCCGTTTCCCCTCACCTGAAGGGCTGTCTCCTGCTGGCTGGTCGTAACTCTTAGTCTGTGGTGTAATATTATCATCATTTGAAATATTAGTCTTCTCTAATAGAACCGTTTTTCTCCATTTTGGATAAAGAGTTTCCTCATACTTTCTCTTCTTTGGGGAAGTCTCCGCGTCGTCGTTGTTTCCAGTTCTTTTGTGTTCCAAATCTCTGGCAATGTTGTGGAAATCTGTCACTCGGCGTTGCCTCTTAATTTCCACGTGCTTGTGCTCATAAAGCTCGCGGCTCCAGGTGTCAGTCTTTACGTGAGCACAAAAGAATCTGCAGTGAGCCAGGAAGGGATGCTCGTTTTTGAAGACCTGGTTACATCGCCCACATTTTAATTCTGAAAGAAAAACGAAAGACAATATGACGTGACTGTTTTTAATCATTTCAATGATTTTGGAGTGACATAAAATTTGATTTAATCGTGCACATGCATTAAAGGGCAGTCTCACCTTCGTTTGACTCTTTTGCTATTTCGGTGAAGCCCAGCAGATGAGACAGCTCGTGGTCGTACCAGATCAGCAGCTCTTCTTCCTGCCGGATGTCCCGGGTAGTCCGCACGTACAGCTGACCCCCTTTCAAAAAGGCCTCTGTGTTCTGCTCCTCGCCGTTGCGCGCAGCTTGCACGAGCCGCAACCAAGACAGCATCAGGGCAGAATTACGCATGGCCTCAGGATCGACCTGTTGATAGCAACCCCTGATGTTTTACACAGTGTCCCGACTTAGAGGATTTTTATTCTGTCTTTCTAAGAGCCTGCTTGTAAATAATTTAAATAGTTAATTGGTGGCAGATTGCATCTTTTAATGCTGAGGTGATTTTATACACTTTTTTTTCTTTTACTGGTCAGTACAATAACACTCAAAATACAGCTGGTCAAAAACAATCCCATAATAACACAAAAACCTGGATGTAACGTATGACAATTAAAACTATATACATCTGAAAAACCCTTTACTTTTGGAATCATGTCACCGTTGAGTTATATAGTAACTCAGTAAAGATGTTACAAAGTATATCTGCAAGACAGTTTATCACAAATTTGTCATACGCACCCTGAACACACAGGATTTCGCTCTCTTGTCACAGGATTTCTGCGCTATGAAAGCGATAGAGTCGTAGAAAGTGTTCTGGAGCACGCACGGACCGAAGCATGTGCCTGCAGGGATGCTGCGCGCAACTACCACACTGGTGTAGAGATCTGAAGAATGCTGGAGGAATTTACTGTCGCCGGTCCAGATGGACCGAGGCAGGAAAGTATGATCCATCGTTAAACTGTAATGGAATAGTTATTGTTAGTAAAGGTGAAGAATTACTCCAAAATAGTTTTAAAATTCATGTTGTTTAACAGAATGGCAAGATAACCTGGGGAGTAGAGCAATCTCATTATATTTCCTGTTAAAATCAGCCTGGAATAGTAATTATAATTTATATCTTGTCTCAAAAAAGTGCAAGTGTTTTATATGAAACTCAAAAAAGGTTGGATTTGTGCGATGTGCAGTTAGCCGGTTTGGATCTGATCCAAGCACCCACAGAATTCCAAAATCGTAATGAAAATAAATTTGCCCAAGTGTATTTTATTTTTCATTTGCTAGTAAAACCGAGGGTACCACTGCGTAGTGAGAGCAGCCGGTGTCGAGGCAAAATGATTACCAACGTCCTTTGTCTCAGTTTTTCACTCGGTTAGTCCTTTTGTCTCCACATCTGCCGTGGAGTCCAGCTGCCTGCTCAACGCGCAGGATAAGTTCAGTATGTTTTCCATAATGTATAAACAGCATAAACGCTCTTAGATTGCGTGACTAATGTTTTCCCTCTCTCCGATCAATTAAAAGTATGCAATCTTTTAGGTTTGTAGGCTATGGTTTAAAATATTGACAGCTGAACCGCACAGCATCATGACAGAATGTGGTACCGATCTAAAAATCCCCGATTTGTTTTTTGGGTTTTTTTTTTCTTCTTCTTCTTTAATGTTGACATTTAAGAGTAAAAACGCACATGCCTGTGTTGCCATGCGAACTCACCCGTCGGACATGGAAGAGGATGTTTAAGCCGTTTGGGAGCCAAGGAAGTTGCAGCAGGTGCAGCGGACCTCGGTGACGAAGCCTTCCCTTTTCTTGCTGACGAGTTACTTGTCCGGCTGAATCTTCCTCCGCACTGTCGTCTCTCCCCTCTCCCATTCCCACTTATCCCCTTCAGAGAGCGCACTGAAGCGTGGCGCATTGATGCAAACGCGTGCGCGCTCGCGCACACGCTCACTCACGCGCCTTCAAATTAGTCTTTTATTAGTAATTTTTCCTTTGTCTGGTTTACAGTTCCCTTCCGTGGAAAAAGGAAGACGTGGGTGTTTGTTTGGACAGAACAGTGATTGCTGGTTAATAGCGCACATTTATGCCTTGTACAGCTGACCTGAACACCGCTGATGGACAAAAGTCATATTTTCTTATGTTTCATATCAGGTCTCAACAGATTATTTGTTAATTTTATAGTGTTACTAAAACCACAAACTGGGCGAAGCAGCACGCTGGAACAGCCCGCTCTTTTGCCAGCATGCAATTAATCATATATAAATCATAATGTTGTGGTAATCTGTCATGTCATGGTTTTAAACGAAAGATGCGAGTAATACTTCGAGACTGCACTTCAGCACATGCACGCTATGTGGGATTGAGCGGAGAGGTCTTGGTCACGTTTCTGGAGACATTGTGTCTAGCTACGAGAAACTAGTGGAAAATGTCTAATGTGGGTTGAATGTGGGCAGTGGGAAATTGTAAAATTGGCCGCTGTTACATGACATGATGCAGGGTGGTCAAGGTTTGCCACCAGGCAAATACATTATTCATAAACTAAATGTTTCTGTCTAATGAGCATTTAATGATTATTCTGCATCAAAGCATTGGTTTTTGAGTAAATGTCCTGGTAGTTCGTGAGCCAACTTTGTGTAACGAGAAAGTGGGGACGCAGAAGCCTCGAAGGGGGGACTCTTTGGTCGCGCTCCAACTGTCTGGTTAAAGCACTTTTACACTATAGACTAAAAATAGTGTTTTACTTTGGATTCGAATTCAAATTTCTTCCGTTTGTGGCAACGTATCACAATCACAGGAACACTTGGACATCCTTTCAGCAGCACCATGTCCTGTGGATATGACGGTATTGAGCGGCTCTTTGGATTCGTTTTCTTTCATGCACAAATTAAAACAAGCTATGAACTCTTTGATTAACACTATACAATTCACTGACTGCACTGACGAATAGGAGACCATATTCGACTTTAGGCCTTTGGTAACTGGTATATTAGAAAAGACATGGACATAAATTAAATTATTTATGTATAATACATCTGATTTGTGGTCGTCTGATGTTTCCAACTATGAAAAATAAAAAATCAAACCACACTAGTAGGACATGACACTTTTTCCCCATCCCAGAAACTTTATTTTTGACAAACTGATAAGGCCAAAGAGAACATCCCAAAAACGAGGATGTACACAGCCACTCTCCCCCCGTAACAGTTTTTGAGGAAAATAAAGTGGAGTTTTGTGTGTCTCCTCGGGTGTCGCTCCTCTCCTTCATCCTGCCCAGCTTTAGTGCTTCTCTTTTTTTCCCCCTTCCTCTCTCAATCGAAGGAGAAGACTTGGAGAGGCCGGCTCGGTCTTAACAAGATTCTTCCAGACTGAATGCACTCAAAATAACGTGAAAGAAAACGTAACCAGGAAACGGGGCTGTGTGTGTGCACAGAGTCCATCTGGAAACGGATGATAGGGAGATGTGAAGCTCTTTAGTTGTTGCAGTGCCGGAGTAGTCAACAGTAACCGGGAAAGATGGCGAGGACACGGGCTCGCATGTTCCTTGTCTTGGCTGTAGTTGGAATTTTCTGTCTCGATGTCTCGGTCAGAGGAGAGCTGCAGGGAGAGCAACAGGAGGAGGAGGAGAGGTCCTGCCAGGGCGCCTTCGACCTCTATTTTGTTCTGGACAAGTGAGTCTCGGATATTATTTATTGCTTTGTTAATTTCTGGTCGCTGCGCATTGCCATGCAACCGTGTAGTTGTTTGGAAACGCGGAGCGCGTCAGTCGGACGTCCTGATGTAACGGAGTCTGAGAAAAGCGAGTGAGCGTGTAAAGTCGAAAAAATACCCAGAGTCTTCATTTTAATCAAACTGGCTTTTGCACCAAATCACAAGATTGAATCTTAAATCTGTGCAACGCAATGACTTCACTTAAAGAAACATACCTAAAATCATTTTAACTTGCTGTTTTGTGTCTTCGGGACATGCAAGTAATCAGATTGAAATTTAAGTTGGAAGTATATTCTTGACATCGGGGCATGCTTTTCTTTTTAGTTCGGTTTAAAGTGGTGAGCCAAAAAGACCAAGCTTTACCGAGGGGATGTGGGCAGGGCGAGCAGGATGGATAGAGTTTCAGGCTGATGACGCCTGCGGACACAGCTGCTGCCCCATAGCGGTGCTATATGGGCCGGTTATCACTTTAAGCATCGGCTCCATCAAAATAAAGAGAAGAAGCATCAACTAATGGCTTCCTGTCACGACTAGAGTGGGGTTTTGCACTGAAAACAAACACAACAAAAACATTGTTTCTAATACACCTTTTACACTGGATGTTGGCTCAGCTGATCGTTATATTACTGCTTGATAAAAGGTTTCTTAATGCATTTTAGTTAAATGCACAGCTTTGGTGTAAGTTATGAAACATCTTGCATAAGGCGCATCCTCCAGCTGATCTTCTTTGTCATTGCCTGGCTCTTATCATCCACCAGGATGATCATTCAGTCATTTTTTTTCTCTGTTTTGTTAGAATTCCACTTTGAACGTTTGCTGCAAAAACTTTGCTGTTTAAAGTAAAGTGGTACTCCTGCATCTTTAGAGAGGTCTTACAGAAATCCTAAAATGTCCCTGTTTCTCTTTCCAAGTATTTCCTCCTCCTTCTTTTTTTCAACTCATAGTTGACTGGTGGGTGGACAGGAAATGAAGTTTGAGACAGTGGGAATGTCAAACAAAGGTCCCCAGTCTGAATTTAATCCATTACCCTATTACTGACATCAGTACTGTTAGAATAACACCAGGACGCTCTTTAAATATCTTTATCATTATGAAATTCTACAGACTCTTAGTGACTCAAAGCATTTTTTTTCAGGCCGCATGGTCACTGTGGATGCTTCTGCCACTCTTCTGGCATGTGTAAGCCTGATGATTTTACCCTGCGCTCCAGCTCATGTCGTTTCAGACATTGTAATTGGCATGTTTCTGTTATTTTGGCATGAGCGGCAAGGTGAGATTTATGCACATGGTCACAGACAAGCAAGTCTAAACATGCAACGTAGACGGATACAAGGAGAGAGAATGACAACAAAGCCATAAGGTATGGTTGGATTTGTGACCTCCCTGTGTAAAAGAATAGCAGGTTAGAATTTCAGTGGAATAATTATGTTCTCGACAGACAGAGTGATGTGATTTTGCGGTGAAGCAGCTAAACAATGTGGTATATAACATTTGAAAATATGCTGAGGTAATGGTTAAAAAAAAAATTCTTTATGTCCTCGGCTGACCCGTGTGCACCACCGCCACCTATGAGCTGCGAGGTGGACGAGCTGAGTGACATTTTACTTTGGTCTCGACATATTTGATGATCTTTTTAATGTTCACGGCAACATCTGTCAACCCCTCTCTTCTCTCTTTACCCTTTGCTTCAAAAAGTTTAGGAGGAGCCTGGGGAGCACGGCATGTCGCGCATGGCTAAACTCTGATACGCCCCTTTTCTTTTTTTGACTGTCTAGCAAGCTCCAGCAGGCCTTCAGGAAGCTGTTGATCTTTCTCCTGAGATAGCACTGATTTCTTGGCTGATATCAAATGCGACACAATGACTAATATTTAAGAAAGAATAGGGCAAAATCATCTCTAAATTGGACTTCACCTTATCAATAGTCATCTTGTTTGCAGGTTTTGCTTTTGCTACACTCTCCAGTAGGTTATGAGACATGCTAAGGGGAGACTGTGTGCACGCTCCACTGTAGCATCTCAGTATACACAGAATAAACATTAGAAAAACGACCATCAGCTTCCTACATTCCTGCTCTCCGTGTCTGAGCTGCACCGAATACCATGCTGCATTTTTTTCGGACTATCTGGTTGCCCACAAATGGAATAATAGGTGTTGTGTTTTATGGCTGGGCTCTGAACAGAGTTTTGTGCTGACCGATCCAAGTGCTTTGGATTGGTTTTGGAAAAGGGGACTGTGCATCTCACAGTTTAGGAATGCAGGTAGAAGACTCAAGGGTAATTACTAAAATTGTAGAAAGATTGCTTTAATTTTCAGCAGAGGAGACTACTTTGAATGCGTTGTGCTTTTTCTGTGGATGGAGAATTGTCTGTCTCAACAATATGTTTTCAAATAAAATGTCAGAAACTGCTTTTTAAAAAATCTACTATATATAAATGTCCTAAAAGGATTTGGGGAAACCTGGCAGATATTTTCATTATCACGAAGAAAAAATGACAACTGACAAACCAGAAGTTCTGTATATGGAAAAGGACTGGTAACAAAAATGAGGCCCAATCATCCTCTCATTGGTTGTAGTTTGCAATGTTTATGTTACCTAACAAAAGAAAGACCTTTTGATTTAGTCTCAGTTTAATGAGCAGTACATGAAACACAGTTTTTACTTTTGGCAGTGTGTCACATAACTTCCTATCCTGCGCACTGGACTAAAACCTCTTTGGTGTATTTGTAACAAAGAGCACCCTGCTTCCTCATGAAGCATATCTTCATATCTTTAGCCTGTAAAATAAACCCACTGGCCCCATATGAGGACACACTTTTTCTTAATATAATGAAATAATGACTTCCTGTTCAAAGATTAAGTTTAGGTTTCATACTTAATCAGGTAAGGTCAAGTAAACCCAGACAGCTCCCAAATAGGAGCTCTGCATCAAGAAAGGATTAAGATGGGGTTTTTTTTACTAGTAAACTTTTGTATCAGGGACTTTTTTATGCCTTTACTTCTTGGGAAAGGGAAAAGTGGAGGAGGCAGTTCTGGGGAAAATAAAAGATTCAAAAGAGCTGTCGTAAATTTGACCAGCTCAGACTTTCACTTTGCTCATGACCCTGTTATGTGTACACACGGATGCCTGACCTTTGCAGAGTTTTGGTTTACAAGCTGTTTGATGTTGCATCCTTCACACACACACACTCACACTTTTACCCCCTGCTGAGTGTCACTTCTGGGTCCCTCTGTTGTTCATGTCGCAGCCTTTTTACTCCGTGCATCCCCAACCTGTTGTTTGGCTGGCTGCACTCAGTGGGACCATCTGTTCCCCCTCACAGTCAAACACACACACTTGCACTCTTCCACATACACATGCATGTCCACTATACACACACAGGCCAGCTGCCTGCTTCGTGGTCCCTGCTAGAGGCAGACTGCTACATCTGTCCCTGTCTAACCTCAACCCTCTGGCCCAGCAGCAATTAGCCCCCATTAGCAGCCCCATGGGACTCGATTTCATTAAGGACACTGTCATGTACGCAGCAGCATGCAGCGGGCTAATCAGCAGCACACAGCCGACAGGTTACAGTCCAAAGCAAGGGAATGTGATTAAGTGACCAGAAGACGGTCTTCTCTGTGTAAGAAATAAACTGCTGTTCCTTAAAAAATCATTAAACCCTTAGTATTTGTAGGCACACTACCTCTAAATCACTGCATGAAAATAAACCTCAGTTTATTAACCTCAAATTCAGCTTTTCTCTTTTCCTTCTTTTTGATCTAGGTGGAATAATCTGCTACAGCATCACATCACACAAGTCCGTGTTTGTGGTATTTTTCAGGTCTGGGAGCGTAAAGCATCATTGGATAGAGATCTACTCCTTTGTGGAGCAGCTGGCAGAAAAGTTTATTAGGTACCAGCAGGATTTAGTCACTGATGTGTTTTTAGTATTTTGTTTTCTCCTTTCGTCCATGTTAACGCAAAAGCACTTTGTGTTCCCAGCCCTATGTTGAGAATGTCCTTCATAGTCTTCTCAACACAAGGAAAAATCATCATGAAACTGACCGAGAACAGGTAAACTCTACACATCAGTAACTGACTAATCCCTTATGTTATGTCTGTATCTGCGTACAAGTACTGTACAAAAATGCTATCTTTACTCATCTTTGTCTGTTAAACTGGTCTTGTAACCCTTCAAGATCAACAGAACAGATATTGCATAATTGCTAACAGATTTTATGCAGCTTCATGCAACCTTACGAATACAAAAAGTGAGACTATCTTTGGTTAAAACTTAAGCTAAAACGTTACTTTCCAACTCAGTTGAATCTTTCCTATTCCGTTTACTCCATGTCTTTTCTTAAAAGCGACATCCTTTCAGGATGTTTTATAAGGCTGTTTGTTTATTCTTCAGGGAGGACATCACTGGAGGCTTAATGGCTCTGAGGAAGGTTATCCCTGGTGGAGACACGTATATGAACTTAGGCCTGGAGATGGTAAGGCTGGGTTTAAATCACACTATCTGAGTCTTCATAAACCTTCCAGAAAATACCCACTGAGCATTAATTGTGCCTGGCAGCTGGAACCAAGAGCAATTAGATAAGTATGAGGTGTGTCTCAAACCATGAATTACTTGCTCCTTCCTGAAAGTGCCGAGCTAAGTATTTAAGAGAGGCATTCTTAAAGAAATTACTCTTTTATTAATTTTTTTTCTTTTGTGAAAACATGAATGTGGGTTTTTTTTAAGCAAAACATTTAAAGACATTCACCCATCTTTGCCAGAGCACAGTGTGCAAAGTGCGATCTGTGGCTTGACTCTACCTCAGTATCAAGGTGTTAGACTGTATGATCACCGGCTGTAACTCTTCTATGATCTGTAACTGAGAGTTTCGGTTGTTGTTGAACTTACGGTTGAATTCCTTTCTTTTTAAATGTAGGCTAATGCACAGATCTATAAAGAGAAACAAGGTAAGCTTCAACCCAAAAGCTTCATACATTGCAGTGCAAAGTTTCAGAGAACGTGAAAGTTGTGCGTTCTGCAGGGACTGCCAGCGTCATCATCGCCTTAACTGACGGAGAGCTGAATGAGTGGCAGTTTGACACAGCACAGAGAGAGGTGAGACGTGCTGTAAAGTAGAAACGTTTTGGAGCCAGTCGAGAAAATATTGCGGCCGGGCTGAGGACCGTTACTGTAGGCTGCGTGCCTGTTAGCTGTTTGTTAACTTTATGTTATTAGTGCTGTTCTTCTTTGGTGGCCCTTATTATGGTTTTCATATTTTAAACCACTTTAATATTTTGCCAGCTTTGATTGGTGCATCTGCCATTTGGATGCAAAAGACCTGCCCTCTTGGCTGCGCCATGGTCATTTTTACTTTTATTACAAATACAGATGATAAATACTGCTAAAGTTATTTAGAAATGATTAATAATCAGGATGCGTAAAAGTTAATGCCCCTTTTTTGGAGAATGCATCATGTTGTGAAACACCAGTTTTTTCATTTTTACTGTGTGAACTGAGAAAATGGTGGTTTTGGGGAGATTTTAGTGGCTCCACGAGACCACAAGAATCTCTTTGCAATTGTTCTTTCTTTTTGTTTGCAGGCACAGAGGGCCAGATCTATGGGAGCTATTGTTTATTGTGTAGGAGTCAAAGAATTCAACCAGACCCAGGTACGATCTACTGACAGATATCAGAAATATTCCAAATACATAAAAATGCTAATATCTTACTTTGTCTGTGTGTCTGTATGCTTTTCTAGCTTGCAACTATTGCAGACACAGTGGAACATGTGTTTCCTGTATGGGGAGGCTTCCAAGCCCTCAGGGGAATCATTGACTCAGTATGGCACACACATACCACATGTATACCATATAAACACTCACACACATACAAAAGAGAGCCATAAAAATCATATTACATCATATTAAATTACTGAGGTATCACATAACTATTTTTTTTTTTGTTTCCATCCCCTCTCTCTCAGATCATTAAGAAGTCCTGCATTGAGATTCTGGCAGCAGAGCCGTCCAGTGTGTGTGCAGGAGGTAAGAGGTGTGAGGAGCGGGGGTTTTCCCTTTCTAGTTCACAGAGTGGGCAGTCACGGTGTGCGATTGTTTCAGATGACAGTCATCCAAAGCCTCTGGAGTGAAACATGAGGTTGAGTAATCGCATGGATGCTTATGACCGCAGAGTGACAGAGAGCGTATTGTCATTCACGGCCGGGGGAAATTAGCATGGCCGCTTCAGCACAGCATGGGTGCAAAAAAAAAAAAAGAGGAGGAGGGGTCTGCGGGTGTTGGTCAGAGGAATTAGCCATGAATCTTCAAGCATGGCTGCATCTCTGGCCTAGTTTGCCACATCGTATATGCTAAATAGCCATTTGGGTTGGTTTAAACCCTGTCCTCTCCCTCACTTCCTCTGCCCAGCACTTCTGCTCCTAGACAGCAGTTTAAGGAAGTAGGAGGCAAGAGATGAAGCATTAAGAGAGAGCCTTTATGGGTAGCCAGCAGGATGGATGAGCTTTGACATGACCTTATTAGGACTCACTTAAGGGAGTGCATTTGCAGCCCTGCTACCAGGACAACCAATGGAGATTAACATCCATTATGAGATATGAAGGACGGGAGAGGATGTGGAGAGAGGAGATGAGAGAAGATTCATGTTGCCGTAAAAGGACAAAAGGAGAAGCTGTTCTCACATGATAATTACAGTTTCTGTTAGTGCGCAAGAGACTTTGTGTCACTCGACGTGTGCCCAAATATCCTTCAGCAGCCTCATTTATTATTCGATTGATGAGCAGCCTAATGGTCAGTGAACTAAGAAAGCAGGGACCCGCTTTAACCAAGGCCTTACTCTGGCCTAATTAATTAAGTTGTAATATGCTCAAATGCTTATAGTGCACTTTGTCTGCCTTTGTTGTGATTTGTGCACATATACAATGGAAATCAGACATCCGGTGCTTTCACATTATACCAGAAAAGGCTTTAGATTGTGGAGAAATCACCAGCCCTCCTGCCCCAAACTCTTATAAAGTAAAGCAATTTTTATCATTTAGCTATGTGATTTAATTTGAACAGCAAGGCCATGCATTGAAGCGTGAATACATACTGACACCCCACATTTATATTGTGACAGTCTCTTTCACTGTTATTTTTCTTGGCCCGCGTGTAGTCACATAGCATATCGTACACGCTTTACCCCAACACACACATTTAAATGGTCTTTAGTCTGCTAGCGCACATGCTTCTCCCGGCACGTGTGTAGACACGTCCCTCACATTGATGTGAAGTGACCAGATCGAGCTGCCTGCAAACAGGCCATCAGACCAGACAGTGAACGTTGGGCCACACTATAAGACATGACAGCACTGATTCCCAGCGCGCACACACAAGCACACGTTGAGGACAGTGAGAGTACGGCCTTCGATCTAACATGACAGGAGAGATAGCTGCTTTCATTAACGTCTGACCCTTTTCTACCCGCCGTGCCTTCCTCCTTTGCCCCTCCCTGTCCTTCACTGTCCTTTTGCACTAACGTGATTGAAGAGGCACTGTTGGGACAAGCTGTACCCCCTTTTCTCCGCACACCCAGTGCCCACGCGTATTCGTATGTATAATCACATATTCGTACAAATCAAAATCCCTGCCAGCCATTCAGGTGTGGATGTAAATGGACACGTTGCCATGCAGGAAAAGCAGAGAGCAGACAGGAGAGGGCAACAGCATATGTGTCGGACATGATGGTGGGGCACCACCAGTCCTCATCCACCATGTGTCTGACAGGAGTGACCTTTTAACACATCAAGCCTGGTGTGTGTGTGTATAATAGATTTTGTGACTGAGACATTTCTAGCTAAGAAAACACTGCTGTTTTCAATCAGTCAGACAATGACAATTGAAAATATCTATTTTTAAATAAGGTTAGGAAATATTATAGACTTCTCACATTTTTTGGATAAATGAGGTCCTGATTTGTTCCTATGTTGTTTTGGGGGGGTTTTCTTTACTTTTCTATACTTCTACATGCCCATGAACAAAGCAAAATCTATCCCTTTCATTGGAGTATATTTAGCATCAGATTGTGGGTTTTTGTGTGTGAGCTATGCCATGGTGTAGCTTGCTTGGTCTGACTGCAAACCACATAGATATTATATTATATTATATTATATTATATTATATTATATTATATTATATTATATTATATTATATTATATTATATTATATTATATTATATTATATTGTGTCACCACTACTTTCTTATATATGAGGTGATTGGTTCAGGTTTTGGTCAGTGAACTGGGTTTTGCCTACTGTAATGTCACAGGGTCTTTGATTTACTGTATAAAGTTTCTTAAATAAAACCAAAGTGAAGATAAACTGAATCTGTCAATAAGCACATACACAGCTGTATGAGGTCAGCAAGGAGTTTAGTGCAGTTTTTGTAGTGTCTTTAAACAAATGCATTATAATATGCTTGTGCGAGTATAATTCTAATTTCCATTGTTGATGTAAATCGTGGATTGTCTGCAGACTTCAATCTGCACTCAGCATTTTTGCAGCATCTGTAAACACATAAACATCTGGTGTTTCTTTGCTTTTCAATTGTCTTCTCAGCTCTTTCTCTTTCTGTATTCATGGATTTCATGGCAGCTTGTCTGACCTTTATAGAAATACTGTCACATATACACCCCGCAACCTGTGATGTTTTTATCCAGTGATCTTCACGCTGGTGCTTTAAATGCTAAAGATGTGGCTGGCAAATGTTCCCTTCGATTAGCCAGGATACTGCTAGGGGAAACCTCAGTTCACTTGTGTGCACACTTTCATTCATGCATACACTGAACACATGCAAATGCCTGCACATTCCACGGAGAAGCAGAATTACAGCACACGCACAGATCTGCACACAGGCACACACAAGAGCTAACGCCGTGTGGTAGTGCCATAGGTAAGGTCAGACCTACTTTGACAGTACTGTGCTGTTGTCAGCCCAGCAGGCATGTTTTTAAGCAAGTGTTTTTTTTCCCCGCTCTTTAACATATGCTGGGAAGCAGCCACATAGACGCTCCAGCATATGCTGGCAAGCCTCTGTCAGTGCACTTTAACAGTGCCTAGGGGAAATTAAAGGTCAAAAGACACACACACACACATTCGCACACACCTCCTGGCTATTGCACAGTCTGAGATATTTCTGAATAGCAACACTTTTAGCATTAGCACCACTGGAGCATATTATGGCCTTTCCACACATACACGCACAAGCACACAGATATAAACAAGCAGTAATGAGGCATGCACAAGTTCTCACTGCTCAAGTTGAGCCCGACAGAGCAAGGGACTGGCCGTCTGGCCCACAATGACTGCATACTTTTTCTGCAGTAATTTGATCTTTTGTAACTCTTGTGCAGCTAAAAAATATATGCATTACCATTGTTTCTCATAAGTGGTTGTATAACTAATCATTCCTGATGTCTGGACCCATTTTTTCTCTCAGAGAGTTTCCAGGTGGTTGTGAGAGGTAATGGCTTTCTCCATGCAAGAAACATCAACCAGGTCCTCTGCAGCTTCAAATTAAATGACACACATACTGTGGGTAAGTTCTGCAGGTGTACACAAGAACACTATAATAAATAGTATGCATCCTTTTCTCCTGCTTGCCATTAAGCAGGACCCTGTTCCCAGATTGAATCTTTTATTAGAATAGTTCAGATGTGGCAGATGTCCCATCTTCTGTCTTCCTTCTTGGATCACTCTGAGCTGCTCCCAGTGCTGTTGCTATTTTTTTATCACTAAAAAACCCTATTTACATCTCTTGCAATTGTGCACTGGTGATGCTTGCACAATGGTTATTTCTTCATAATTTTATTTCTGGGGAAAAGTCATAAGAAGACATATCTGGAAAGAAGGGTAGGTATTTTGCATTTCAAGTTTGCACTTGTCAAAAAATTCCTGCATTTTCAGTTTGTCACACACTGCCACACAATGGCAGGTCAGGTTTGTTTCCACTGAATGTTCTCCTTTAGAGTCCTCAGGACATTGTAACAGAAAGTTGGACTCTGTGGGGTTAAATTCAAAACCCTATAGATGTTGCATGAGTACACAAACCTGGTGCGCCCCATTTGGGCTTTTTCCACTGAAGATGAGGGTCATAACCAGAGATGGGCAGTTACTGTAATCCGATTACTTTTTTCAAGTAACGAGTAAAGTAAGGGATTACTATTGCAAAAACTGTAATTAGATTACTGTTACTTTCCCGTAAGCACGCTGCGTTACTAAAACCGTGATTTTCTTGCGAAAGTGTCTCATGACAATGACGTAAGCGAGTGCGACGTTCGTGGCAACAGCTGTGTGCAGATCAGCAATGGATAATATATCGAGTGCGGGAGAGTATGAGCGTGCAGCGTTTAAAGCGTGGAAGTACTGACCGTACTTTGAGTTTGATTCCATAAAAAGTGACAAAAACATTAGTGTTCGTTGTGCGTGGGAAGAAAAGTTCTACGACGTAATGGGAAATTCACAGAAACTCGCGGATTCTTCAACTGACCGCTGCGGCACACCTGCACCAGGGCAAACCTCCGCCTACCCCACTTCTGCTTTACAGGTGAAAATAGAGCAACAGGACCGCTGAGTCTTTGATTTTATTTATTTTCTGCTGTGTTTCACTTGCATCTATTTGAAAGAGTGAGTGTAAACACAAAAAATATTTTATTTTATGTGTTGGAATGTGCAGAAAATAGGTTTAAATGTTAAACAAATTTCTTCCAGTCAAAGAATGTTGCATATAATTTAACTGTTGCTTGATGCATAAAGTTAAAAGATTAAAACTAATAGCAATTTCACTAGAAACACTCAATAATTACACAAGGAAACAACACTGAAGCAAGAAAAAAAATCTGATTTATGGTAAATATGGTGTGGTTTATTTGCTTATTTATTTAAATTTTTACATGGCAGATAATTATCTGATAACCAGAAACCCTTTAAGAGGACTTTATCTCAAACCAAACACAAAGGGCATGAACCCCTGCAGTAGGATGAACCCATCCATAATATAATGGTTCCACCCAGAATCCTCTCTGAGGATTAATGCCAGATGCTTTTCATTTTCTAAGATAAAATTCAAGTTCTACTGAGAACTAATTTTCCACCCTAATAGTTTCAGCTGTAACCCATCCAGTGAGCTCTGAAATTGCCATTTTATAACATTCTTGTGGTTCTATTTTAAGGATGGGGCAAAACATGCTTAAATTTCAAGTATTGTGTATTGGGCATGATTTTGGCATTATTGAAAGAAAAACTTATAAGTATCAGAAGCAAAAAAAAAAGTTGTTTAAGAAGTGTGATTTTTGCTTTTCCCCATGTAGATGAGAGACCAGCTGGAATAGAGGACACCTTTCTGCTGTGCCCTGCTCCTGTGGTAAAGGAAGTGGGGAAGTAAGTAGCACATCTCAGATCTCGTTTTTCCACCCTTATTTACCTCAGATTGTTTCTCAGCTGTGGCTCCAGTCTCTGAACTATCCCCGTACAGCTGTAATGCGGACATTTGCCAGCTGCTCTCAAGTTTGTTGTGGACACAGAAGACTGCTGTCCTTGAACAAATTAGGGCCAAAGTCATTGTGTGTCTGTGATCAATCAATGTTTGTCACAGCTAACGAAGCCAGACACCAATCACAAGGGGACAACAGGAGTAGAGCCCAGGAACATGACTTAATGAGAGCCTGCTCGAGAGAACCTCACAACTCCGGTGTGTTTGTGTGTGATGCTCCTAATCTCTGTCTGGCACTTTGGCAGAGACAAAGTGTGAGTGGAGTCAGCGGGGCAGTGTAAAGTTTCCTCTGAGGGATTCCAGCTTTGCCCTTGGTAATTCGGAGCACAATTTCCTTGCGGGGCAGACAGAGAGATACTGTGGGTTGAGTTTGGAGAGGATAAAGGCCCAGCAGCCCTTCCATCCCCTCTGCCTGCAGTCTTGTGCATAATTATACACTCAGGCCTGTGGCCTCAGACACCTCCCAGTCATCATCTGTCTTGTTTCTGTCACTCAGATTTTTAGCATGATTTGAGCTTTTCTTATCCGCCAGTGAAAAGTACTGCTTTGATGGGGAACCACTGCTCAGAGATAAGGAGGAAATATTTTTTCTCCAAAGAACTCACGAAACTGACAGACCAAACAATTTTTTTAATACTGAACATTAAAAGTAGTATATTACTGGCATATAACTGTTTAGGGTTTGACATAATGACAGAATGTAAAAGACATATGGAGCAAACTGTAAAGTCCAGCAAACACCCTGTACGTGTCTCTGCTTTATTGTCTGATCTTTGTTGCTGGTGTGCTGTTGTAGCAGGTGGAGCTACTCCTCCTGAGAGCAGATCGAAACAGGCAGCATCATTACACTCTGCAGTGATGCCTGAAGGAGGCGTCCTTCCATGTAACAGAGGAGAGAAGAGTCGATACTGCCTAAAACCCTGAGTGCCACTAAAGAGCAAGTCAGCTGTGGTGGCTGAAGGGTCCAGAGAGAAGGCCAACAGCTGGCTGATGAGTTCATTGCAACAGAAGTGGAAATGTAGAGTGAGGCGAGCGTGACACTGTTCAGGTTGGACAGGTGTTATACACTTTTATATACTTTTTTCTTCTCTCCCATTGGACTGTTTTAGCATTCTTAGCATGATCATAATGCTCATCACAAAGGTTTTCAGTTTCACAGAACATTTTTTCAAACATCTCATTAAAGAAAAGTAAAAGGGAAAAAAACATTGAACTGAAATCAGGCAGCATGGTGATGCACTGTAGGCACTTTTGCCTCAGCAAGAAGGTCCTGAGTTGAGAGTCCTGGGCGGGGCCTTTCTGTGAGGAGTTTGCATGTTCTCCCCGAGTTCTCTCCGGGTGCTCCAGCTTCCTCCCACCGTCCAAAGGTTACGTTAGGTTAATGGGTGATTCTAAATGGCCCATAGGTGTGAATGAGTGTCTCTCTGTGTTAGCCCTGTGTCAGATTGGCAACCTGTCCAGGGTGTACCCTGCCTCTTGCCCTATGGTAGCTGGGATAGGCTACCATCCAGGCTATCATCCAGGCTATTTAACCTGATCAGGCTAACCCTGATCAGGTTAAATGGAAGGGAATAGATTGATTTCTTTTAAATCAGCTTCTTAAACATCAGTAGATATATGTGATTATTATGTTATATGCATGTTATTATCAAATAATAACACACCACAAGCTTAAAAAAAGCTTAATTGGTGCACAATTTTTCATGTTAATGGATTATACTAAAACTATAAAAAACATTTTATGCAATTTTATAAACCAGTGATGAAATAAATTTTTCGTTCACATATCTAAAGTTATTACACTTTAGATATGTGAACTGCTTCCTGTTGAGGAATTTTTAGGTCTTCAGCTTTACTTGAGATCTTAGGGACTCCGGCTTCCAGCATCAGCGAGGGTCTCCACCAAAAGCCCCTCACTCTCCTCCTGTCTCACCCAAGTCGCACTGTCGGTTAGAATGAAGGCACTGGCGGTCCTGTCACACAAATCTGTGTTGACTGGGAACCTTCCGGATGCAGCTCCCCCTCCTGAGCGCACACACAAAGACACACACATATGTGGGGCAAAGACATATATAGTGGGCAGATTGATGATTGATAGGGGCTGAGATCTCTCTGTCAGCGTGGAGCTGATAGCACCCTGTCCCTTGCCTGAAAGGAGGGCTGACCACAGGATGGGGAAGGAGAGACAGAAAAAGGAGAGAAGACGCAGAAGAAAAGATTAGTGGCACCTGCACCGCCAATTTTCTATTCCCAAGTCAGTGTCAGCATGAGTTATGAGACGAGCTACAGTGGCGTGGAGCGCTGAGGGGATGTGGATGAGGAAAGGCTTTCCTTCTCCCATCCCCCGCCTCTGTTTCATCTTCCCAGCCATCCCACCACCCTGCAATGACCTCCGCCTTCCCGCCCCCTCCTCAAACTTAACCCAAAGCTCAATACCCCCCTTGTCTGTGTCGCCCTAAACCATTAGACCAAGCACAAGAAGTCTTTCTCCATTCTTCTTCTACACTCCAGCAGTCTGCTCTTTAACCCCCTGCCAGCGTATGTGGCTCAAATGTCTTGGCCTTTGTTTTATTTTATTTACAGTTTCATTTCCATCCATTCTATCCTGTTATCTTCCCATCTAAAATGATTTGCTTTTTCCCACCCTTGTGTCCGCCCTTCCTGTACTTGAGTAGTTACAGCTACGCATATCGGTGCTGAATGCTGTACAATTAGAAGTCATTTTAGCTGTCTGTGGTTTTCACATCAGAGGTCTGCGTCCAGTCCAAGCAGAAGAGATTCCTCCCGTGGGTGGAGACCTCGCTGACCTCTTCGAACGCTTTTAGCTCTGCGTTTTTGTCAGCATATTTTCGTGTGCTTATAATGGAGCAAGTATGGACAAAGCAAGAAAGTATTTGGCACCTGGTTAAACTTTTACAGTAGCTTGAAGCTACGCCGTGAATGTGTTCATACAAGCAGATGTGATATGTCAGCACTTCTGTGTTAGATGACCAGCAGCCGGCTTGTGTTGTTTTTTGTATTTCTTTAGAGTGATCTACCTGCAGGTGAGCATGAACGAAGGCCTCTCCTATATCACCAGCTCTGTTCACATCACTACTACTGAATGTGTAAGTAGATCCAGTGTAGCTTACACTACAGCTTCACAACATTAGATGGTAATATTTCTCTCTGGCATGCTGCCTTTTTTTTCTTTTGAAAAAACTTTCTTTCAGCTGTCTTATTTCTCTTTTGGCTCTTATCTTCATCTCTCCTTTCCCTCTGAATTCTCCTCTGTTGCGTCTGTCATCAGAGGAGGCTGTGAGTACTTTTGCTTTTCACTTTCCCTTTGTTTTCACTTCACTTGTGTTTTATTCCTGTTTAACCGTTATCGCGTCCATCTGCATTTGCGCAGTTTGACGGCACCATCGTGTTGATATCCTTGCTCGTGGTATTCCTGCTGTTGGCTCTGCTGCTGATGTGGTGGTTCTGGCCTCTCTGCTGCACTGTGGTAAGTTGGACAGACCAAATGACCTCGTTTTTCAGGAAAACTACTACACTGTTTTTTTGTTTACACTATATTATTAATTTATTTTTCTCTGCTTCAGGTGATCAAAGAGCCTCCACCACCTCCTCCTCCAGAGCCTGTAAGTCACCTGTCACATGAACCTGTTGCAATCTTTCCCCTTTCTTTCATTCTATTCAAAGATTTGCATAAGAATTCAGGACTACTGCAATATTTCTTATTTTTGCAGTTAATATAGTAAAGTAATAATAATAACAGTGTTTAAGCATATGAGCTGTATCCTCATTGAGGCTTCGCTAACAGGAGTCAGATGATGATGATGGTTTACCCAAGAAAAAGTGGCCCACAGTGGATGCTTCATATTATGGAGGAAGAGGAGTAGGTGGCATCAAGCGCATGGAGGTACACTCACTCACTCTCAACTTTCAGAATTTGCAAAAGGCAAACGGACGAATTTTTTTTTTTAAAAATTTCTTACTTACTTAAGGTGCGATGGGGGGAGAAAGGATCCACAGAGGAAGGTGCGAAGCTGGACAAACCTAAAAATGCTGTTGTGAAGATGCCGGAGCAGGAATTTGAACCCTATGAGCCCAAGCCCCGAAAGCCTCCCCGTCGACCCCCACAGCAGAGGAGGTGGTACACCCCCATTCAGGTAAGTTTATCATATGAATGCTCTTTAAATGTTCCGTTTATGTTTGTAGCTTACTTTATCCAACCGCAGGAGAGGAAGTCAACTATATTTATCTTTATATAAAGCTGCAAAATTTACAGCACCTAACCTAAATAAAAATCATATGACAAACAATCAAAACATAATAATAATAATTGATCATATATTTCAGGATCTAGTAAAGCAAATGATATACAGATAAACAGGTACATTAACCCTTTCAAGAGCTGGACAAGCAAATACTTGCCAGAAAATTTAAATTGTTTTTTTTAAATAGAGCATTTATTGAACCATCTGACACATTTTAAAGCTTAATTAAATATTAATTTGCAGTTTTAATTTATTTATCACGTTTGCTGCATTATCTATTTCTTTTGCAATTTATTGCAATTTATGTAAGTTTTCAGGAGGAAAAAAAATCACACTGATGATGTTCTCAAAAACTCACAAAAACTCATGTATTAAATATGGCACACGAGACATTAAGGTATTATGGTCCTTTTCAAAAAATCATATATTATTTGGCATTATAATCAGTCTCATTCTCTGTCTGTGGACCTTGGCAGAACACACTAAAAAAGTTTTATTTAGATTAACTTTTTTGTTTTAAATCACTCTCATTTATATATGACATTTGTTTCATTATAAATCCTCCATTTTTAATTCACTTTCCTGACTCCCCAGGGGAAACTAGACGCTATCTGGGCTCTGCTCAGGAGAGGCTATGACCAGGTATCTCTGATGAGACCGCAGCCTGGAGACGAGGTGAGCCTGCTTCTACCTACAGTCAAGTTACATTTTCATCCGTTTCTGCAATTTAAGAAACCACAAAGATGCACAACGGCTGACACAAACTATAATTTGCTGATTACGAGTAATTTAGGGGGCTTGCCTTCTAAACAGCGGGTTTTCTGTCTTTCCGTAGAGCATCTGCATCCTTCTTTTGTCTGCCATGCTGCATAACGACACCATAAAGACATAGGAAAATCTTTAACGCAGCACCCCAGTTCTCAGCACGCACATCCACACAAACACATGTGGAAAAACATTCACAGGGGAAATAGTGAGGTACAGACAGGACTCTCTTTGTCAAAGCTGCAATTGTTCACACACAAGGCGTACTGTGCTGTTATGTACTTTTCCCTCTGACTCCCAGAAAATGACATGGTTTCTGTTGAGGTTTCAAATAGCATGTTTCACCATCACTGTTTACTGTTAAGTCATGATTATAGTAAACAAATATATACAAATTGTGTCATTCTTTGTTTTAAGTGCTATGTTTTATGAGAAAAACCCAAAAAAAATAATTGAATGTGCTATTACTGGACATTACTGCCACTGCTGAAAAGTCCTGAATCATGACATCACTACGTTTCCTGCAACTGAGTGTGACAGATCGAGACAGAGAGCAGAGCGGTCCCTCTTATCTAACCTTGACCCCCGCGTCTGGCATCTCGTAACCCCCAAAGACATGTTTTCATCATCACACTGGTTGTCATGGTGAAACATCTGCTCCGTTGTAAATGGTGTCATTGTCGCTTCTCATAGCTGTGGTCTCATCACTGTAAAATTTATCGATTTGTGCTCTTCAATGACATGATTCATCTTTACTGTGCAACAGTGCGAGTGTGTGTCTGCTCGCGTCTGTAAAAGTGGTCGCCACCGCTGGTTTTATCTTTTCTTTCCATCCTACACATCTTTTTTTTTTTTCACTGCGCAGAACAGTTCATCTCTGTCATGGCAGAAGTTTCTCGAGTCTTTGTCAGACACTTTCTGTGGGGCTGCGGTTCACAGACACTCAACAATAACCCCCACCCACCTCCTTTCACGCGCCATTAACTGAGAAAAATAAAAAAAACGCTACTTCTCACATGGAAAAAAACGAGGGGATTCACTTTTGCTGCAGAGGAGGAGAGAATGTTTAGAATAGGTGCTGATAGCCATATCAGACATGAAAGACGACAGTGATTGCTCATCGCTGATAAAGCCAGGCTTGGATCTTCCACACAGTAAAAACAACAAACATCTCTTCAAAACCCAGAAACCTCAGCACAGCTGGTTATTAAGAAGCCCCAGTGTGGTGGCAAAAAGTACAGCAGTAGATAGCATTAACTATCACACCTCCCAGTCCAGCTTGTTAACCAGCAGCTCAGGAGGTGCTTGTCCTGCTTTCTCCCCGCATTACTCCTACTTCACTGCCTCTGCAAACAGCCATCAGCAGCCTGCCAGTTTCTGCCACGCTCCAAGTTTGCATTTTATCTCTTTTTCTGCCATGTGTGCGTGCATTTCCGTGTATTTGTGTGTGTGTGCGCTACTGTAACGTGCATGTCACTTCTCCTAAGCAAGCATCACGCAAACAGATGGGCAGTTGAAAGGCCACGAGCCATATTGTGACAGATGAGATTCCCTTCTTTTGTCCCCGGAGCTGATGGCGCTGATGGCTCTTGTCACACAGTACAGGCCAGACCAGAGGGCGGTCACCAACTCTCTGTTCTCATGAACAGACTGCACAAATGAGCACTTCCTCTTCTAACCCCCTCCCCTTTCTTTTTTTCTTTTCACCACTTTATAGAAAGTATTAGTTTACACAAATTTATAAATGTTACATGAAAAATCAATATAAAGTCTCTTCACATCACAGCAAATCTCCCACAGGCTACTAGGCTGATGCATGGGTCGCATCATTTTCATCCAAATCAAACAATCCAGTAGGAGATCATTCCCACTCAGGATACACTTTACAGTCAATCTTTCCTCTAAAGGGAAAGTGCACAGAAGCAATCTCAGCAAAAATCCTTCTCAAATCATAATAGGGCTCCTCGAACTCCTCAGTGTCAATTCTAGGGTTTGGAGTTCTTCAATAATTTCTCACACATCTGTGTATGTCCACAACAGTGTTTCAGTATCACAGAGTTCATTTGCTCACTGGAAGTCTAAATGCAAATAAACAGTTTTTATCAGCAGCATCTATTTCAGTGGTATTATGAATAATCAACAGAAAAGGTTGTCAGCTGTTTTCATGGGAACTACTTCTTAGTCCCAGTTTAAGTTGTTTCTGGGAAGGGTAGTTGAGATTAAATGATAGGGCTGTCGGGAAACACTGATCCACAGTAACCAAAAATGTTTGGTAGGTATCATTTAAATGCACTGCTTATCGCCCTTTTATGTTCATTTATGTGGGGGAGGGATCTCAAAATGTGACACTACAGATCTGCTCTGTATCGACCCTAAACTGCCGATGAAGTGCGTTAACTCTCGTGAGTTCGCACAGAGCATTTTCCTTATGTGAGTGAATTGCTGTAATGTCATGCGAGGTGACAGGCAGAGCTGTCAGGTCAGATGTG